CAGATTTCGTGGCAGGCACAGCACTTTGTGCACCTCCATGTGCAGATGTCGTGGCAGGCGCAATACAAAATGCGTTGTGGAGAGATAGCGAACGCACGAAATGCTGTATTTTTCAATGGAACCGGTGGCTCCGAAGCTGGCAAGTCAAGGTCTGCGGAAGGACGGGTGCGAGACGGTCTCGGATCATTCTCGGATCATGCTCGGAATCGTCCGTCCATTGGGATTAGAGTTTTCACTTGTTTCTTGAAGTGAAGATTTCGTGGCAGGTGCAGCACTTTGTGAACCTCCATGTGCAGATTTCGTGGCAGGTGCAGCACTTTGTGAACCTCCCTGTGCAGATTTCCTGGCAGGCACCGCACTTTGTGAACCTCCATGTGCAGATTTCGTGGCAGGTGCAGCACTTTGTGTACCTCCATGTGCAGATTTCCTGGCAGGCACAGCACTTTGTGAACCTCCATGTGCAGATTTCGTGGCAGGTGCAGCACTTTGTGAACCTCCATGTGCAGATTTCGTGGCAGGTGCAGCACTTTTTGAACCTCCATGCGCAGATTTCGTGGCAGGTGCAGCACTTTGTAAACCTCCATGTGCAGATTTCGTGGCAGGTGCAGCACTTTGTGAACCTCCATGTGCAGATGTCGTGGCAGGTGCAGCACTTTGTGAACCTCCATGTGCGGATTTCGTGGCAGGCGCAGCGCTTTGTGAACCTCCATGTGCAGATTTCGTGGCAGGCACAGCATCTGGCGAGCTGGAAGCTGAGAACTGGCGACTTTGTAGTACAACTTTACTACGCGGAGTATCTGGCGAGCTGGACGATGAGAACTGGCGATTTTGTAGTACAACTGTGGAGCTGGAAGCTGAGAACTGGCGACTTTCTAGTACAACTTTAGTATGCGGAGCAATCTGTGCAGCTAGAAGCTGAGAACTGGCGACTTTGTAGTACAACTTTAGTACGCGGAGTAACTGTGGAGCTGGAAGCTGAGAACTGGCGACTTTCTAGTACAACTTTAGTACG